GTGTGTGTGTGTGTGTGTTTGTAGTGTGTGTGTGTGTGTGTGTGTGTGTACTCTTGTGTGTGTGTGTATGTGTGTGCATCTGTGTGGTTGTAGTGTGTGTGTGTGTGTGTGTGTGAGCGCGCGCACGCGCGCGCGCACGCATGCATCAGTGCATGTTCTAGAGTTACAAGTGGCTATGAGCTGCTCAGTATGGGTGACGGGAACCAAACCCAGGTCCTCTGTGATGGCAGAGCATCGAAGCCCTGACAGCCCATCTCTCCAGCCCCTACAGATCCTAACAGTGGGAATAAAGCTTTTCAGGTTTGCCAAGCTGGCTCTTTCACAACCACATGACCTCTCCATGCTCAACAACAACCCTGCACACAGGGTAGCCATTAGGGTTAAGTCAACACCACATGCAAAAAAGCCAAGTACCACAGAGCCTGGTAAATAATTAGCAGCCGATCCATGAGGCAAGAAGTACCAGTTGGCATGCATTTGATGCAGGACTTCCCCTGTATGCTGTGAATATGTTTTATTACCATTGGTTAATAAAGAAGCTGACTTGGCCAATAGCCAGGTAGAATAGAGCCACACAGGAAATCCAAGCAGAGACATAGGAAGAAGAAGGGTGGATTCCAGAAGACACTGGCAGTCCCCTGGGAAGCCAGATCTGAGGTAACAAGCCAGGAGCCTCGTGGTAGAATACAGACTAATAGAAATGGGTTAGTTTAGTTGTAAGAGCTAGGTAATAAGCCTAAACTAACAGGCCAAACAGTTTGTAATTAATATTAAGCCTCTGAGTGATTATTTTTTAGGCGGCTGTGGGATGGGGGTGGGGGCAGGGAGGCAGATAAAAACCTTCCTCCTCCATGGGTTTTATTTTGGAGTGATACAGAATCAAAAGAAAACAGCAAAGACAAGACCTAGCCTCAGAGAAGGTGTCTCAAGCAGGCACAGCCAAGGCCAGGTATGTAGATACCATGAGTAGAAGAGCACTACTGTGGAGAAAGGGACAGAGGAGATGAGCAGATAGCCCACAGAGAGGCTGCCGTGATGTTGCTCTTGAAACAATAGCAACAGCATGATGCTGAACAGTAACAGGAAAGGAAGCTACATCTCATGTGTCTCACAGTTCTGCAGGCTGGAAAGTCTAAATGTCAAGGTCTGTGTCACAACGTGGTGGACAAGTGGGCATGGGCAGAAACGAAAGGGAATCACAATGACCTTATAACAACCTATCCTCCTGAGAAACAATCCTCCTGAGACCTGCCTCACACCCTCGTGAGGGCATCAGTACCTTCCAACAGTGCTGTCCTCCTGGTGCCCAAAACACCTCACCTCAAAAAGACCTCATGAAGAAAGACCCCCAACATCTCAACATCCACCAAGGGGACCAGGGTTCCATTATTGTCCTTTGAGGACAATCACATTGGTTCACCTCATTTGAGGAGTCAGGAGAATGTCAATAAGACCAAAACGATAATTCACTTGACTGATTATATAAAACTTAACTTTTCCAAACAAAAATAACAAACTGGAATCCCTAGGTTCCAAAATAGACAGAGCCCCCACATCCCAGGGAGAAGGCAAACAGTGCTGAGAAACCGCCATGGGGGACTCAGAGATTTTTTATATTTCACTCTTCATAAAAACATCACTATCCACCACTCATGCTATTTGAAATACCCTGATGGCCAAGAAAGCTGCTTAGAACCCTGCCCAGAGACCAGCAATAATGTTATCTATTTCCATGGCAAAAGAAGTTCAGATAAATGTGATGAAAAGGTTCATTTTTTGATAATAACCCCAGGTGGTTGTCACTAAGGTTCCTTTGTAGTTTAACTTCTTAAAAGTCCAAATCTAAGAAAATGAGGAAATACAGGGACTGACTGATGGAGTTGCAGGAGCCCAATAGATTAAGTTTGATACTGTTTTTTGCAGTTCAGCAACTATGGAAGGTAAAAAAAGCAATCAAAAGGCCTTCAATGGCAGCTTCCTCCAGGAGGGACATGTCTCTATTTGAGTTCGATTCTAATTCCTCAGCTGCTATTGCTGAAGTACAAGGCGAGAGTCTCTCCTCTCCCCCTCCCTGGACCCATGCCAGTCACAGAAAACCCTTTATTCTCACCTCAGACCCTAATACCCCTACACCCTGTGGCACCACCACACCAGCCAAGGCCATGGCTGTGCAGACAACTTTATTCCACAGTACTCCCTCCCAGGCTCAAGGCACAAAATTCCATAAAGATTTTGCTGAATGATGTTAACAGCAACATAGGTGCAACGTAAAGTCGCCCACAGAGAATCTGGCATCTTCATGTCTTCTCAGCCTCCATAGGGTAGGGAAAAAAATGAATTCTTTACAAAGCTATTTCATAGAATGTTATGTTAAATGAATATCTTTTACTAGCTTTTAATGCTAATAGTGCCATTTATTCCTGACCTTCAGAAATATGAGATATTTTAAATGACAACATAAAAAGAGTTCTTGTTTGAAAACCCAAGCTACTTTAGACTGCATACTATTACTTATAAGTATAGTGTAAGCCAGTGCCACTCATTCAGCATCCCATTTCTATCCGGCTGGTATATATTTCAGCTGACACTTATTGTTCTCCTGCGTACGTGTCAAATTCCTTAATGACGACTGACAAAGCCACAGCGCTTGGTATATATAAACTACGTTTGCTACCATATAATCAGTGTTATCTATTAGAATGCTATTTGTGACAAATCACGTTCAGAATAAAAACAGAATTGATTTTTCTGTTATTTTAATATGTGCCGCACACAGCAAGCCTTTGATTGAACCTTAAACACTTTAATGCTCTATTTTTGTTTGCTGCAGATCAGAAATGGTGTTCGTACTATTCACAAAGCTAAAGCAATTTGCAAAAACAACAAAGTCAAATTGCAGAAAAAAGAAGAAATATCATCTTTATCTTCAAGCCAAGGGAATATGCTTCTGTAAAGCTATCGTTAGAGGGCATGTGGCTGAACAGCTCGGGCCACACCCACTTTTCATTTCTGTACCTCCATTTTCATCTAAATTAGATTTTAACTTTAATGCATGGTATAAAAAGCCTCCCCTGGGCCTTTGTTTCTGCCTTCTCTCAAGCCCCTGTAGGCTTTCTCCTGGCTAATATAAGCTCCACGTTGGTCTTTGTCCTCCTGTCTTTTGGCCATGGTTTTAGGCTGCATTCTCAGGGTTCTTACTGCAGGAGGCTATGTTTCTGGAATCTTCCAGTGGGTTATCTCTCAGAGGGGTGCTTGCTTGGCCCATACTGCAACAAATACATCACTTAGAACTAGAGTCTGGCTAGCACCATGCTCTTGGCTTAATTTGTGGCTTACAGCAGAGGCTAGAGTTAGGGTTCTAACCCCTTCTCTTTGTCCTTCTTCCTTGGCTAAGAATGGCATCCACAACTTTAATTCATTTTTGGAAATTCAAAATACAAACAACATTTTACAATTCAGGAGAATTTTTATGAACTTAAAATTTCAGTGTCTATCAATAAAGTTTTATTGAAACACAAAAGCCAACCATTTAATTATACACTGACTATTCTACTAGTGGCAGGAATTGTTCCAAAGTTCATATGACCCATGAAGCCTATTGTAATTGTCCGGACCTATTCTGATTTGCTTTCTGTTGCTATGGTAAACACTCTGATCAAAAGAAACTTGGGGAAGAAAGGGTTTATTTCATCTTACACCAGGAATAGAACTTGAGCAGGAACCTGGAGGCTGGAACCATGGAGTAAGGCGTCTTACTGGCTTGCTCACTAGAAATGCCTAGCCAATAGGTTGATAATTGCTTTCAAACCCACAAAAAAATGGGGTACTCTAAGCAAATGGAGAATTCCGGGCCAGCTCACACCAGGTGAGGGGTCTGTCTTCAGTCAGCTTCTTCCTGTGTTGCCTGTCCTAATGCTTGTAGCAATCGTTATGTGTGAAGGCCTACACCTATGAACTTAACACCTGCAAACTGTGAGGTACTTTGCTAAGCCCATTGTTACACTGAATCTTCCCAAACAACCTCACGAGGAAGGCAGGCTGATCATCTTTATGACAGAAGACAGGAACTTGAAGTGGTTGTTTTCTCATGGAGATCATTTGGCAATAATACAACACAAGGCCTGAGGACTCCCCAAGCCAGCAGTGGCCAACCAAACCCCAGAGCAGGCTCCATCCCCTTCATTACACTCTTGCATTCCCCTCCTTGTCCCCTCACCTGTTATCTCCTTGAGGTGATCCCGGGTGAGCCCATGACTCTTTACAAGCTGTTCACTGTGACAATGGCCAAGGTGGAAATCCACAGACCACAGAGTGGCCGAGGGCTTAATATACAGACCTCCCTTCTGGCGGTGCCATGCAACTTTCTACGATGTTGTTTTGATTGGCTTTGTCTTGTTTTGTCTTATAGGTGTAGTCGTTTTTTGTACTGTCAACTTGACAGGATCTAGAATAGTCTAGGAGACACACCTCTAGGCATTTCTATGAGGGAATTTCCAGATTGGGTTAAGTGATGTAGCAAGATCCAGTGTAGCCATCATTCCACAGGCTGAAGTCCTGAGCAGAATAAAAAGCACTATGCTTGCTCACTGTGGGTGTGACATCACCAGCTGCCTTCTGTTTCTGCAGCCCATGTCTTCCTGACAGTGACATATTGTACCCTCTTGAACTGGAAGAGAAAATAAACTTTTCTTTAAGTTTCTTCTTCTTGGGTATTGGACACCAGCAACAAGAAAAGTACAACTAATATTAACACAGCAGGACAGAACCCAGGGTTTACCCACGTTAGTCAGGCTCTCTGCCACTAAGCTACAGCCACAGTCCCACGTCTGTCTGGCCTCTTGATATCATAAGGTGTAGTGGCATCTTGCTTTGCCACATCCTAAGTGCATGAGCCAGCCCCTCCTCTTCCTTATAAGGGGTCACGTCTGCATACCTGAAGCCACACCCATAGGATGTGGCCACTGCTGCCTGTCCACTGGCAAATCAAGATGCCACTACCTAAGGATGCTCTAAGGCTCTTCTATAACCTTCATTTCACAAATCAGGAATGAGGTGTTCAGAGAGTTTAGGGACTGTGTTCACGGTGACACTTGCAGGAATAAACAGCTGAGATACGAGTCCTGGGGTCTGCACCCTACACCATACACAGTTGTGCTTGAGCAAAGTCAAAGCTGTGGCTAAGAGCTTTGTAAGGAGGTTTACAGGCTGGTGGTCACCACTGTGGGACCTGTAGCAGGGACAGGGGCCACTGGTGTCCCCTCTCCACCAAGCTGAAGGAAGGCTATCAATTTTTGTACAGAAGAGGTGACCCCTAAAAAGAGGACTTTAATCGCCACAAAAAAAATGCCTGTCCTGACAAAAGGCCCAGTTGGCCCAGGGATTCCTTTATTCTTATCAGGTAATAGAATTGTTTTTAGTGGCAAGAATGAGCTCATTACGGATGCAGCCTGTGCTAATAATGATAATTTGCTGCAAGGCAAAAATCACCTCTGTACACCCCTCTGGGCGACAGAAGCTTGTGGAAATTATAGGCTAGGGAAATTATAGAAAGGATGAAGACTCAGGAAAAGAATTGCAAAGCGAAGAATTGAGGAAACAAAGGGAATCACAGCCCTGTGTCCTGAACTTGGTGATCGCGACCTGGAAAAGAACAGCCCATCCATGAGTTGAACGCCTCCAACCTCGTTACCTCTCCACTGGATTGTTTGGGGGTTTTGTTGGAGGTTTCAAGTTTTGGCCATTTTTTCAAAAGTCATTGTAAAAGGAATTCACCAAGAAATTTAATATTGTCACAGGCTTTACCTCCTGGGAGGAGAGCAATATGAGAAACACGCCAGTTTGTCATCCCCTTCAATTCACTTGTGAAGACCCCAGTAGCCTAGCACAGTTACCTGCAAACCTCGGGTCTTAAGAAGAACCAAGCAGACACACCTCTCATGCCTGCTCTGCTCGCTCAGCCATCTCAGAGAAGCAGAGGTCTGGACCACACACCTCCAGGAAGCTGGGGACAGGTTTCCTGGTTCCTATGTGAGGTTGTGCAGTCACTCCTTCAGGATAAAGAACCTGGAAGAATCCTGACTGATCTTGGAGTGTTGCTTCTGCCCTCTGAGGAGAACACCAGTTTACCTTCTACTGAGACAAGGCTTTATTTTTCCTTTAAACAAAAACTCCAATATATTTAAAAAAAACTTTAAATGTATTTAGGCATACATGTGTCATGCATGGCACACTTGTGGAGGTTGAGGTGGCAACTTATGGGGGTTGTTTCTCTCCTTCCATCATATGGGTCCCAGGGATTGAACTTAAGTCATCAGACTTGATGGCAGGAGCCTTTACCTACTGAGCTATCTCTCTTGTCCTGAAATATCTAAGGTATTTCAGACTCACTCCCCTACTCTCTGCACACTCCTTTTTCACCCAGAGAACTCAGCCATGTGCCATGCAGCAAGGATGACCTTGCTGTGTGAGGAGTCCCCAGAAAACGCTGTCCCTGTGGGCTCTGTGAGTTTCCAAGTGCTTTGATGGGCATGGATAGACTGTGCCCCCAGAGCTCCCTCCGACTTCTTCTGTATATGACAGTTACAACAGGAAATCAGACACCTGACCTGCCACAGCAAAGAGGGAGGAAGCCAATCCTATTGACTGAACCGAGTCCCTTAAAAACAAGGACCTGTGAATATGACTGACTTGGAAACAGGGTCCTGCAGGCTTGAGTGGTTAGGATGACATCAGAATGGAGCACAGTGAACTCCCCAAGAGGCTGTGAGTATACAGACACACAGGAAGAATGCCGTGTGACCGGAAGACAGAGACTGAGGATCCAAGGCATGGCTTGAATATTAAAACATCCCCCACAGGCTCCCGTGTTTGAGCACTGTCCCCCATTGGTGGTGTGTAACAGTAACTCTTTCCGCCAGCTGCCTGAGTTCCACCACCATGTTAGGGCCCCCAAATAACACACAGAGTCTTAAATTAGTTACAATGCTGCTGGCCAGTGACTAGGATTTCTTCTTTGCCAGCTCAGTCTTAATTATCAACATAACTGCGAATCTATATTTTTTATAAGAACTTATCTTTCCGAGGACACCGGCCTTATAAGTCCTCTCTTCTTGGGATCACATGGCGACTCCTCTTTACTACATTTCCCAGAATCCTCCTTCTCTCCTGGTCCCGCCTATCTTGCTTCCCTATTGGCCAACAGTGTTTTATTCGTTAACCAATGAGAGAGACATTACACAGAAGGACTTCCCCCATCACTGGTGCTCTTTTGGAATGCTGCAGAACACTTAGGTGAAGCCTCACTGGAGGGCATGTGTCACTTAGGGGAGGGCCTTGAGGTTTGATATATCCTGGGTCTGTTTCCTGTCTACTCTGTTCCTGCCTGCAAATGTAATGTGTCTGGCCACCTCCTGTTCCTCTCTGACATGCTTTCCCCAGCATGATGGACTCTGAAGCCCCAAACTGTGGCCACAACAAACCCTTCCACCCTTGAGCTGCTTCTTAGGTATTTGGTCCCAGCAACTGAAACCTACAGATTTGGGCTTTGTGTATGATGAAGCCACCCAGCTGGGTACTGTGTTTAAAGAGTCCTGGTAATTTCACATAGCTGGTCCACCAGCTGGAGTCTCCCTGGGGACTTAGATTCTAGAAAAACAGGGCTGGAGTAGAATATGTGTACCAGGGCTGGAGGCAGGCTATACCAGGACCCACTGGCTAGGCTTTCGAAGAAGAACCAGACCCAGATACACAAGGTTACCTTGGTGGTAGGATGAGACAGCCCTAGATGGGCCCTTCACTAGGTCAACATATTGAGAACTCCCATTAGCCGCCCCTCCCCCTGTCCCAACAAAAACAGAAAAAAAAACAGGCTGAGAGGTAACCTCTCTATTCAAAGATTGTCATGGCTGACAAGGCCAATCTCGCAGGGCACAGGTAGCAGTTAAAGAATTCTTATTCAATCTCCTCATTGCCCAAGAGTGGGACAGGCAAGTGCAGCAGGCTTCTCAAGTCCCTTGAGGCTCAAATCTCTTGGGAGGGTGTAAGGCTCTGGCCCACTGCAAATTGCATCTCTTGGGGTGGGTATCTCTCATATGCATTCCTGCTGCATGACAGACTGGACCACTGAGCACAGCCACAGGTTCCGGGAGCTCGGGAGTCCTCACTTGGAAGTGCTTGACCTGGAAGAGAAATCCTCCCTAAGAGCTGCACACAACACAGGTGACCCAGCTGAGCATGGAGGTCAGAGGGAAACAGTCCCTCCACTTACTTACCTGGCACAGAGGATTCCGGGTATTCAGGTGGGAGACCTTGGAGCTGCGAGACTTTTGGAGAAGGTTGGGGAGGCTGTTCAGAGCTCACACCATATATTCTAAAGTAAGCAGAAAGAGTGAAGATATTCCTTTCAGTAAGAGGTCTAGCACTCGGGCCCTGGGCAAGCATAGTGTGTTTGCTCTAATACTTAGGGCCCACCCTACCCTTCAGTTCACCATCCACCGATGGTAAACTGAGGCAAGAGAGCTGCCTTGTGCAGTGCTCCAGTGTCCCTGCCAGCAATTTGGTGAGCATCTTGAGAACCTGTTGGAGGTTGTAGCAGGGAGCACAGCAGATCAGTCCTCCTCTACTGGGGAAAAGTTGTCCTCTCCAACAAGAGGGACGCATGTGCAGCAGTGAGGAGGCAGGCGACAGCTGCCTAGCCAGCCAGATCCCAAATCAACCCTGAGGCACTGGAGGCTAGAACCAATCGTCCTCATTTTTTGGTTGTCATTAGATTATTTTGAAACAGGGTCTCTTTATGTAGCTCTGGCTGTCCTGGAACTCAGTATGTAGACTGGGCCTTGATCTCACAGAGATCCGCCTGCCTCTGCCTCGGATTAGAGGTGTGCGCCACCATGCCTGGCTTCCCTTGGCATCTTGAGTCTTAGGCCAATGCTGAGACAGACAGTTCTGTTTGTTGCTCCCAGCCCTTCCCTGAAAAGAATACCTTCCCTGAAAAGAAGCTGGAGGGTACAGAGTGTGGGCTCCCTGCAGGAAGGCCCTGCTGTGACAAATCAGGCATGTCTACATAGCAAGCCAGACCCAGAAGACAAGGCTATAGTGCTGGGGTGGGGCATGCCCTGCTGTCCCTGCCCCTGCCTCTGCTCTCCCCCCTAGACCCTGCAGCTTATAGGATCAAGGCAAGCTACACTTACTGCTCATAGGGCTTCTGCTGGGCCCTCTTGGCCTGCTCCATCAGATCCAGGAAGTCCTCATAGCACTTTTTGGCCATGATGGTATACCTTGTGGCACAGCCAAATTCAGTGACTCTGGCTCTGGGCAGGTAGCCTGCCCAGCCAGGGATGGGGGGCTCCTTTAGGGGCTTCTTCACATTCTTGCATTCTGCAAGGAGACAGTAGGGGTCCTGAGAGTTTCAGAGAAGCAGGGTGGGAAGCTCCCTGGCATATTAACAGTTTAAAAACTGGAAGGCCACACCTAGATCCCCAACTGCTTGCCAGGGACCTGGAGTGAGCTGCTCCCCAGCAGATACCTCATATATCATTCTTTCAACAGCCAAGCAGGTGAACACCACTGTTAGTTCCACATGTTACTTCCGTGGCAAGTGCTGAGACATAGCCAGGAGGTCTAGGTAGGATAGGTCCAGTATACACTTAGCTCTCGGGTCCTGAATCCCGGAGAGCCCCCAGGTGGGAGACAGCACATGGAAATTATCACCAGAAAAGCCATCAGGTCCTGGCGGTGACACTGACTGTAAGGGTGAAGGCAGGTGCTAAAGAATCAAATAAATTCAAAGAGTGGCACTCTAGGGGATACCTGGTGCATCCTTCTCTGCTTTAGATGAAGAAACTGGAGTCCAGAGAGGTAAAGCAGTTTGCTTTAGGACACACAGCAAGTTACCATAGTGATGGGCTAAATCCTAAAACTTGGACAAGGATTCTTTGTCATGTCTGGAATATTTTAAAACCTGGCAAACATATAAATTATCATCTATTTTTTATAAATCCCTAAACAATTTAATATTAACAAGAAAGGCTACCAGCCCAGTGTGTGCATACCCACGTGCTTACATGCACACATACACTCACACACAGAGTGCGCCATAGAGCATCCATGGACTTGTATGTGAGCATGTCCATCCACGTACTTGGGGTCAGAGGTCTACACTGAATGTCTTCTTTTGTTACTCTTACCTTGTTTTTTGGAGGCTGGTTAACTCAGTGATTCTGAAGACTGATTCAGCCGTGAGATACACCATTAGATTACAGCCATCTGCCTGGCTTATTTACATGGGTTTGGGGGACCATTCCAGGGCCCTCCACTACTTTTCCTATAGCCCTTTAGATATACAAATAACCCACGACAAAATCTCATTAAATTGTTGCTGCCTCATTTGTCTCTCTGTATGACACCTCCTCCTGCAGAATTAGTGTCTACAGGTCTGATGTTTGGAATCTGCTGCTCCCTGTCTCAAACCACACCCTCAGGGTGCCAAGCAGCAGCCCCTCCCCTGGAGTTGCCTCATTTCAGGCTCCGCCCCTCAGAAAGCCCGCCAAGAGTTAGCCCCTCCCTGGGGCTGCTCAAGACCACATCTACCGGCTACTTAAGATCTGGCCACCATAGATGAGGGGTGACTCCTCCCCTGCCTTCTCAAGGGTCACCCAGGAGTTGCCTTGCTCTGTTCATTAAACCTGGATTTATTAATTCAGTTTGACTGGCTTATTACATTAGCGTGGTTAGTGGCACAGTTCCAATAACCAGGGATATGGGTGTCAGGGGTTGGGGAGAAGCTTCCATCAGAACAGCTGGATTCTGATCTAGGACAGATGTCAGCATCCTTGCTGTGACCTCTGGGAGCACCTCTAGGAACCTCTAAGAGGAATGGCTGCCTCATCCTCACAAGGCTATTGTGTCTGCTCAGAGAACCATGAAGTCCAGCTCAGAGACAACTCCCAAAGTGGCATACACAGAGCCAGAAGCTGATGTTCAAAGACCACTGGGACTTGCCTAGGGCTCCTAAGGTGCTGCCAGCCTCTCCCAACTGCCCGGGGTGGGTCTCTTCTCCTCAACATCAGCTGTGTTTGGTTAGGTGCTCTTTCTGGCCTGCTGGGATCTCACTCGGGACCAGGGCTGAGAGAAGCTGATGTGGGGGAGGCCATACCCAGAGTCAGGGGGTGGTACTTCTTGGCATACTCATGCAGCTTCCACAGGACTGTGTTCTCGGAGCAGATGGGCTTCAGGGCCGGGATGCTATTCACAGAGCAGTTCAATTCCTGCTGTTGCTCCTTGTACCTCTGCGTTTTCTCCTGGAAGGCTTTCACACAGTGATTCATGTCATCCTCGCTGAAGGGTCCCTGGCAACTGAGCCACGGTATGAAGCCTGGGAGAGCACAGGGAGTCACAGTCTGAATGAGGTAGCTAGCTACAGTCTGAGAGGCCACCTCTGTGCCCAACACCGCAGCAGCCCGCTGCTTGGCTCCCCTCCACTGCCGCCAAGGCTTTATTTCCCCAAAGGCCATTAATACAAATGGTATTGTTGTTTGCACCATGGCTGGTGCAGAAAAATGACCTTGGAGCTGGGGAGGGAAGGTCCACTTCAACAAAGGAGATGACAGTCATACAGTTTGATGGCAAAGCCCCCATGTTAGGCTGAACAGCAAATGGGGAAGGCATTTAATGGGCCTAAATGACAGTCTGAGGAGTAATTGAAATTATTCATCTTTTATTTTGAGAAAAGCTTATTTTCCTTGACACTTCCCAAATGCAATCTGGGATCTTTCTTGCCAGACCATAGAGAAATTGCAGGCCCATTAAAGCAGAGTCATATGACATAAAAAGGTAAATTCATTATCTGCAAGACCCACCCCTAGGACAATTTTTCACCATTTCCCACAAAATACCATGTAATCATTACAATTAGTAAGGGTAAAACACAACTATTTATTTAAATGGGGTGCTGAATCCTAAGTACTATAATACTGTCACAATGAGACCATTTTTTTAAAGAACAAATGAGGAAAACTGGTTAAGAACTTAGCTTCAATCTTCAAAGTAAATAAGTATCTCTCAGTATTGTAGCTCATTGTTTGTGGTTTTTTGTTTTGGTTTGTTTGGCTTTTGCTTTGTTGCTTAAGAAAGAAAACCTGGCTTTGAGGCTGAATGTAGAAGCTCCAAGTCCTCTACCCACAAAAAAGCACCTTCTAGAAAAATCTAATAGACTGACCTTGACAGGGCCCAAGTCACAGATTCCTCATCTGTTATGGGTTGAACCTAACATGAATGTGTCCCCACAGGCTCATGTGTTTGAAACTTGGTTCCATGGTGCAGTTCCAGGAGATTGTGGAAACATTAGGAGGTGGGGCCTAGCTGGAGGAAGTAGGAGGCTGGAGTGAGGGCTTTAAGGGTTACAGTCCAGCATCACTTCCTGTCCTCTCTCTGCTTCTTGGTGTTGTGGAATGTTCAACTATGTAAAGATGTGTTACATTTGTTTATGCTGTGGGCTATTTAAGTGTGTGAAGGTGTGTTACATTTGTTTATGCTGCGGACTATTAAGTGTGTGAAGGTGTGTTACATTTGTTTATGCTGTGGACTATTATTTTAAGTGTGTGAAGGTGTGTTACATTTTGTTATGCTGTGGACTATTACTTTAAGTGTGTAAAGGTGTGTTACATTTTGTTATGCTGTGGACTATTACTTTAAGTGTGTAAAGGTGTGTTACATTTTGTTATGCTGTGGACTATTACTTTAAGTGTGTAAAGGTGTGTTACATTTTGTTATGCTGTGGACTATTACTTTAAGTGTGTAAAGGTGTGTTACATTTTGTTATGCTGTGGACTATTACTTTAAGTGTGTAAAGGTGTGTTACATTTTGTTATGCTGTGGACTATTACTTTAAGTGTGTAAAGGTGTGTTACATTTTGTTATGCTGTGGACTATTACTTTAAGTGTGTAAAGGTGTGTTACATTTTGTTATGCTGTGGACTATTACTTTAAGTGTGTAAAGGTGTGTTACATTTTGTTATGCTGTGGACTATTACTTTAAGTGTGTAAAGGTGTGTTACATTTTGTTATGCTGTGGACTATTACTTTAAGTGTGTAAAGGTGTGTTACATTTTGTTATGCTGTGGACTATTACTTTAAGTGTGTAAAGGTGTGTTACATTTTGTTATGCTGTGGACTATTATTTTAAGTGTGTGAAGGTGTGTTACGTTTATGCTGTGGACTATTACTTTAAGTGTGTAAAGGTGTGTTACATTTGTTTATGCTGCATTTGTTTAATTATGTAAGGATGTGTTGCTGTTTCACCTTGCCTGCCTAAGGAACCTGATTGGGTCTAATTAAAAAATGGCCAATAGCTAGAGGGGGCTGGCAGGCAGAGAGAATAAATAGGAGGAGAAATCTAGGCTGGAGAAGGGATAAGAGAACAAGTAGAAAAGGGGGTACATACCTGGGGCTAGAAGCAGGAAGCTGCCAGCCAAATAGACACAAAGACAGCAGGAAAGTAAGATGTACAGAAAGAAAGGATAAAAAGCCCTAAGGCAAAAAAGTAAAGAGAAACAGATTAAAATAAGAGCTAAGATAAGGCTGAGCTTTCATAACTAGTAAGAAGTCTTCATGCCATGATTTGAGAGCTGGCTGGTGGCCCAAAAGAAAAGGGCTGCTGCATCTTGGTCCATCAGAATATGAGGAGTCCCCAAAACCCAATATCTGCAAGCCCCACTGCCAGGCCTTCTCCACCATGAAGGGTTGTAGCTCAAACTGTAGCCCAAATAAGTCCCTTCTCCCTTCCGTTGTCCCTCATCAGATGCTCGGTCACAGCAATGAGTAACTATAGACTATTCCCCCAACCCCTGAGCAATCAAAATATGTCCTGTGATGTCATGGAGAAAGCCACAGAAACTTAAGGTTCTTTTTGAAATGGTACCTCTACCACCAAGGCCTACTTTTAGCTATACATTTATGTACGTGTATGCGTAGACATGACACTCACATACCTAGTTATACAAGACGTCTCACTGAGTGGAGTGTGTGTATACTGGCTTCATTAATTATCACAACTACCAAAGAGTATCCAATATGATAAGATGCATGAATGGTATCCCCCCAAAAGACCTCAAAGTCCCTAATCTCTGATACCTATGGGCATGGTCTTAGAAAACAGAATTAATGAACTAGAAGCAAGATCATTCCATGTTTAAGTTGTCCTTAAAGCCAGCGTCCTTAATAAGACAGAGAAGGGAAAGGACCAGAGAAGCTCACACTTACAAACATCCATTTGAAGAATCAATGATGGGGCTGGTCACCATTGTATAGAATTCATTCCTTGTGTTAAAAGGGGTTATCTGCAATCTTGCAGACAGTGGACAAAGGGAGGTATGAAACCTGAACTGTCCAAATCCAAACATATTCTCTTACCTAGCTAGTAGGACCAGGGTGAGCCTAGGACACCTTGGAATGTTTTCAAGCATAGCCTGTTCTAAAAACAGCTCTGTCTGAAAACTGAGGGCCCACTGAGCAGGTCAATAACAGGGATGTTCACAGTTCTCAGAAGTCTGAGGAGGAAGAGCCTTAAAGAATGGAGACCAATGCTGACCTAGGCCCTCTACATATATGTGACAGTTGTGTAGCCTGGCCTATGATGGGGAATGTACTTCTGTGTATATTTATCTTATTGATTATTGAATAAAATACTGTTTGGCCAGTGGCAAGCAAGGACTAGGAGTCAAAGAGGATTCTGGGAAATGTAGTAGAGAAGTGATGATCCAGGCAGGAAGTGACATGGCAAGGAGACTCATATCTAAGCGAGGAAACAGGAAGTATGTCTCTTTTCCCCTCGGCTCCTGCTCCCGCGGCACAATGTGATCCACCAGCAAGGAGGGACGCCAATAAGGCCCCCGTAAGTCTTATAAAATATATAGGTTTATGATAGTTAAGACTGAGCTAACAGCTAGTCATTGGCCAAGCAGCATTGTACCTAATACAAGTTTCTGTGTATTCATTTGGGCCCTAACTCAGGCAGGCAGCTGACGTAAAGCGCACACGTGGCGGTGGGGCTCGGCAGCTTTTGGCAGAAAGATTTATCGTAACAGGTCTACTTGTGGGACTCCTAACAATGGGAGCAGGGGCTGTCCCTAACACTTTAGCTGGTTCTTGGGAACCTATTCCTCATACTGGATTGCCTTGCCAGCCTTAAGGGGCTTAGTCTTATTGCAACTAGATATGCCATGTTTTGTTGATGCCCATGGGAGAACTGCCCCTTTCTGAACAGGAAAAAAGGAGGAATGGGTAAGAGGAGAGGGAAGCAGGGGAAGGGACGAGGAGGGGGGAGGGGTAGCTTCAGCCAGGATTAGAATAAATAAAAGAAGACAAAGAAAGAGACCAACTGTTGTCTTTTCTAAAAGATGAAAGGGTTTCTTAGACAGGACTTTGAGGGCTACAACCTCAGCAGGACAGAAGTCGGTCTCCTCTGTGAGACACAGGAAGGAGTGAGGAAGCAAGAACCGCCCTTGCGGGAGAGACTTGGGAAAGCATAGAGCCCCAACTTCTCCCCTTTTGCCTACCCTCAATCACTGTCTATCTGACCCACAAGCTGCCCAGCAGGGGTCAAATGCTTCTGGTGCCCCAGCCAACTCCTAAAGGACTTGGCCTAAGTGTTTTCTTCTCAATTATGCAAGACTAGCTGTCACCTCCTGTAGCACTGGGTGTTCTCAAGTGTATCGTAGAGTGCTTGCATGGGCCCAGTTAGACACAGACAATAACCAAGACAAGCCGGAGACCAGGACCACTGTTACAAATGTCACTTACCACCGTACCCTGGTGTGATGGGTAGTTTTCTCATGAAGGTCTCAGGAGGCTCCATTTTACTCTGCCAGGAAAGGGAAAGAGGCATGAAATGGTCTCAGGAGTCCTTGCCTCAGGGACTTATTGCACACAGGCAATAGTTCTTGGATGTAAAAGAATGACTTTGTCAGGCTCTGACTGAGAGGTAATGCCACCATCACACCCAAAGCTAGTTGAAAAGAGTTTAGTTATAAATCAGAGACCTGGTACCAAGGGCTCATTACTTTTTATGCTTATTGCAGATCTCCTCCTATGAGTGTCTCTTTCCAGAGATAACCATCCATCCATCCATCCACCCATCTAATAAACCATATGCATATTTGGCCATAAAATGGATCGAGTTGTGAATATACAGACAAGCAAGACCCAGGAGCCAGTATGCAAGGCTCAGGAAACTTGCACAAGGAAATGATTAGACACCCATTTCTCCACAGCCCATTCTTAATTCAGGCAGAATCTAGTTTGGTAGCAACTCATGTTGCTACATCCCTTTACTATCAGAATATCTGACAATGTCTAGAGACATTTTGGGTATCATAAATAGGGGGGCAGGATGCTACTGGTATCTTTTGGTTGGATCCCTTCCGAATTTTATTCAATGCATATAAGACCCCCCACACACAACAAAGGCTTACAGCAATTATAGTCTTGGGGGAATCTGAAAGACACACACACACACACACACACACACACACACACACCACACAAAAAAAACAAAAAACCAAAAACGACAAAAAAAAAAAAAAAACAAAAAACGAAAAAAAAAAAAAAAAAAAAAAAAAAAAAAAAAAAAAAAAACTGTCCTGGAGTCCAAGGAGGAGATGAATAGAGGTGATGGGTGCCTATCTTAGTACCAGCTATACGGATACCACCTCTGGAGCAAAACCCTCCCCTCACCAGAGATCATCAGTGGTCTCCCACAACCCGGCAAGGTTTGTATATGGACTCTCTGACTCGTCTATGCCCTATCCCACCAAGGCGGTGTATCTCTGTAAAGCGACACTTCTTGGAGTGAAAGAAGGTATGAGCAAAGATTGCTGAATCCCAGAGGCAGCCCATACTGTCTAAGGTGTGACCCCTGGTGGTTAGAACCCGGTGGGAGGCGCTTGGGGGGATTTCTGAAGAAAGGCAGGGCAGGGTCCCGGAGAGAACAGGACCAGGACCGTTCTCCACCCACTTCCACCGGCTCCTGCTCTCACCTGTGCAGGCCGAGCACCCCCAAGGGAACTGGGCAGCTCCACCTTGCTGCCAGCTCACCTGCTCTTCTGGGCCTTTGTGCGCTCACTCTAGCAGGGCGGGGCAGATTCTAGATCCATCCGGGATATTTGGGGCTGGTCCCGCCCCCTACATGGGCATCAGGAGTGGGGGTGGGGGACGACACCGGAACCAGAACCAGAACCAAGTCCCTCAGCCGCTAGTTCTCCCCGGCACTGCGAAGTCCAGACGTTTGCCATAAACCTTTGTTCTGGGAGCTCATGCCTGTTAGCCTGAGTGCCTCATTCCCACCAAGGGAAGTGGAACCCACTGTCCCGGGAGGTTGCAGCTCCTGTTCGGTGGTGTGGACACCGAGGGGGTGCATGCAGAAAGCCATCCCCATTTCCTCCCAGAGGTCGCCAGTGGTCTCCGCCCCCGCCATGTGAGGGCCAGCAAGGGGCGGGAGGCGGTCAGGAAGAAGAAGGGCATCTGTGTCCATGTTGGCTTCCAAACACAGGCACCTTCCCCAGACTAGTCCACCCCTGCATACAACGTTCTCCTCCATTAGGAGAGCTGGGGTTTGCTCTCTCTCTCCCTTCCCCCTCCCACCCCCCCACCCCACCAATGTCCCGGCACACCAGTGTTTTCCCAACTTGAAGGTGTGCTTGGGAAAGTTGTGTTACTCATTTCTAGCAGTGGTTTTATGGGTGGGAAGAGGGTTTGAGCCAGGGCCTCATTCGCCTGAATGCCAGTAAGATGCCCTGTGTGAACCGAATGGATATGGAAAGCTCTGCTTGGCTGCTGCCTCTGCGTTGCGTTGCCTACCTTAAGCTTGTTTAGTGGGCTTCCCTGGAGTGGGCAGGAGGACTTAGCTATCCTGGAGACTGAACTTCACCACCTTTCACCCCCCATGGACTCCTGGGACCACACCTCAAGCCATCCAGACACTTCTAGAGCCAATTTAGAATATGCCCCAGGGGTAGAACTTGGGAGGAAGCCAAGAATTTAGCTGGCTAGCCTCTGCCTGCAGGGGTGCCCCGGAGGGCAGGCGCTTTCAATGATTTCCATCTATCACTCTGCCAACCAGCCTTCTCTCCAGCTAACCACTGCCCCCACCTCGTCTGGAGGAGACAGGACTCTGGGGGCATCCATGGAGCTTTGGTTCCCAGCATAGGAAGGGCAGTCAGTAAAGCTTGCACCACCCGAAAAAGAGACTTGAGACGGGAGGAAGTCAGCAGTGATTCCCCCAACAATTCCACCTGTACACCCCAAATGAGGCAAACTATTCCAGGCCACGCAGAATTCAGAATTTCACTTTATTAGAATCTGTGAAGACAAGAGAGTTTGCAGACACAATCCTGTCTAGTTGTGGACTGCTTCGAAATTGTGTGAAGTTTGGCTCTGTCTTGTAGTGAACAAGACTCCCAGTGGCTGAGGTCTTAGGATACTGTTCCATATTTCGAGCAGATGAGAGGTGTTAAGATATTATGGCCAAAACTTTTATACCAGCCATTAACTTAAGCCATTCCCCACCATACCTTCTATGCAGCCTAAACACAACTATTTCATCCTTAAAATGTGAAATTCGATCTTCGATTAATAATGCATTGTTGACTCCTGTTTATATTGGTGCATGCAACTCTTTGCTACCCTGGCAGTTAACCAGACCTGGACTCTAAAAGCTAAACTTGGTCTAAATAACATTCTAAGGGTGGGGGGGGGGTGGGGGCGGGCAGGCTCTGTAACCTGGACTCAGCCATCGCTCCCAGGACTGTTTCAGAAGCACCCCCTCTTTCCTACTGTATGTCACCTGTCGGTCTGCAATTGTGAATGCCTACTGTGTACAGAAAAAGTAGCTCAGTAGCCACATAACATACACAAAGGTCAATTGGCCAAGACCACAGACCCTCTAGAACTTTCTGAGTTGGGGAATGTGTTCCGAGTATACTTATCCAGTGTTCTAATAAGATGATTCCGACTGGGGCAGGGGTAGAGTGGAGGGCTTTATTTAAGGAGTCTGGCCACGGAGGCTGCAGCTCTGGGCCAGAAGGAATCACCACCCTTTCTCCATAATCAACAGTTCGCTAACACTGTAGATTTCTATCAGCTCGTTGAAGTGAAAAATGAGAGCAGGGAGACAGAGCTAGCATACGGTGAGGGGTGCTTTACATTAGCTAGGAGAAGAAGGGCTGAACTATAGCCTCTCCCACTCACTTTCTCGGCCCGACATAAACTGAGGTTTATGTACCACTGGGTTCCTTTGATCACCAAGAAGGCCAAGCTTTGCCTTACCAGAGAGGAGAGGTCAACAACCCTGCGAGAGACAAAGCGTTTGGGTAGGCATAGCTTACAGAACCAGGATGTTCAGCTGTCATAGTCTGGACAGGAGAATTGATACATTACTCTTCATGCAGAAGCTGTTCAGCTTTGGGCAGGGTGGGCACGTGTGGAAGGGTCCGATGAAGCTGTCCAACTGGGTAGTCTGTGTGGTCAGAATACTCTGACCCAAGGCACCTCTGTCTATTGCTCGGTCTTGCATACATAGTCCATTGCAGGGCGTCAGCACAGAGAGTGATCATCGGTGAGAGCAAATAAGAAATGAAGCCATGGAGCTTACAGGCAGCAGTGTTAGTAACCAAAATTAAGAGAACTTTCCTTGCCAAACAAGCACACGGTAGAAATAAAGATTCTGTACAAGATTCTAGTAGTATATGTACATAAAATTATATCCATTATAACAAAATTGAAAGTCTGTTTGAGGACTGTGGCGGCTGGAAACACCAAAGAGAAACCCATGACCTTCTGAGGCAGAGTTAGCAGGAGAGTCCTAGCAAGCATCCCGATGCCCAGAGTTGAGACCCTGCCTTTCGGTTTGGGGCTCCCATCTCTTGTTCTATGGTTTGATAGCATTTTCACATTCTAGCAGGGAATTCTGCAGCAAGGGAGTGGTGTGAAAAAGAAGACAGAAGGTTGGAATTCAAAATGCTACGTAAAAATCTACATATTGGCTATGATGATGAGTTCACAAATCTAACTTGCATTTGAAGTCCCTTCCTCATTCTGTATCCATTCATTCATTCATCCATCCATTCATTCATTCATTCTGCATGCCTCCAGTGATTTCAAATCAGAACGAATTCCGGCAGGTGGGAAAGGCAGCTTTGAACAGATCAAATGGACTATGAGTCTGATTCTTACCCTTCCCTATCCTCAGCTGACTCCTGAATGTTGTAGAGACTGGCTTTGCCCAGAGGGAAGGCGGGAACACAGAACCTAACTGGCTCCTTGGGCAGCTTCATTCTCAGGGGTTCCTTTTGTGACATCTTTTTCCTTCCCTGATCCTTCTTCCTGTGCCTTACTGCTAGGGATGCTCCAACCCCCCTCCCCCGGCTTCCCCCCCCCCTCCTCCCCCCTGCCAGGCCAGGTGGGTCTCCATCCCCTCAGATCTGGAGGGCAGAGTGTAGGGGTACACACACTCTTCCCTAAGAGAACTCTGATAGGTAGGTTTGAAGCCACACGCTGTGGTCTGTGGTCACTTCAGCTTTACAAAGCCTCAGGTTCAAGAATCTCACATTCCAACACTAAAAAACGCAGATCCGGTCTCTCCAGATTCAGCTCTGGCTAAAAGGTATTTGACTCAGGACCTGCTCTCGACCAGCACCCAGGCGATTCTGCGGCAAGTGGGCCACAGACCCACTTTAGAAAAGGCTGCTTTCATTTACCAGGTCTAGGTTTACATGCTATTTTTTAGGTAAATTTGAAAAGCTGAAGATTTGATCGAGACATTCCATGGAACAGAACCTCCTTTCATATCTCCTCATTGGGGAACGAAAATGCGCATGGTTTGCAAGGCAGGGGGCCATTTTGGATTTCTGGGCTTGGTGACACATAAAAAACAGGGCAAATAAAAACTTCACTTTCTCAAACAAAATTCCTGCTAAGATCACCTGGAATTATGCAGGGCCTCTGAACCCAAGGTTTGTTGCTCTAAGAATTACCTTCTGATCTGTGTTTGCATTTACTGGGTTTTCAATGAGCCCCAGTCAACTGTGGTCCAAAAATGTGTAACAGTATAGTATAGTAAGATATGCTTCAATAGACCATGTTCATATATAAATTTTATCAAAGTGTGTTTTCCTAATTGTCCTATTTCATCATTAGTTATTGTTGCTAATCTCTTACTACTTTACTATATTGAACTTTATCACAGATACGTTAAGTATAGAAAAAACATAGTATAGATAATGTTTGGGCAGCCACTGGGGGAAATATCAGAATGTATCCTCTACAGATAGAAGGGGACTGCTCTAATTTGGGTAAGTCACTAACTTTAACTCTTCGGTATGCATTTCCACCAAAGGGAGTTTTATACCTGCTCTGGAAAATGGAGGTATCAGCCCTCTTACCCCCCCACCCCCACCCTGGTTGAGTTAGCCAAGGCTGTCCTATCCTTCATCGAGCCTCCTTGGAAATTTAAATTATATGAGAACCTAAAATAGTGCCCAGCGTAGGCAGTCTCCTGCCACTGACTTAAAATATAAAATTAAAAAAAAAATTACTTTAAGTTGCCACTGAGTCACCAGTTTGAGTCCCATGACAAAGAGAAGAAGCTAAATGCAGGAAGCTGGTATTTCCTACTCACTGTCCCATGAGAGAACTTACAGAGACCTCCAAAGAAGATCCCTTCAAATCCAGAGAGATGGCAGTGGGTGCCCTAAGTCCTCCCTGACAGGGGCCTCTTCGTGGCAAGCTGCACCAATTTCCTCACCAAGGGCTGTCTTACCTACCACTCAGGAACCCCGTGAAAGCTGGCTGTTCCAGGATCCTTAAACTTCCTATTTCCACGCCTTGATGTTAATCTCTGAGTTTGTCTGACTCCAATGTACCCTCAAAAAGAAAAAAAAATCCTTAGCTAATTCTCTCCCTGTTTCTCCTCTTTTCCTACTGAAATTCAGGTGGGCAATGGTGAGGGTGAGGTCTGGGTGGGGACAGAACAGTCAAGGTGGAGGTCGGCGAATGCAAACGAGGAGTCCCAGTGGGTGGCTGGCAGCAGGGATGAGAGAGGGATGGTTACAGTTAGTAGTTTAGGAAGTCGATCCCCACTTTGACACTCTTTGAGGTGGCTATATCCACGGCCGTGGCCTTGATCTCGGTGTCCCCAAACTGCATAAGGGTCTGGATTTCCCTGCGGGCGGGCACTGCTGTGCCACTGGTCCCCGTGAGATCCAGGCGGAGCGTGCCGCACTTTTTCACCCCGGGGTCGGTGATGAAGCTGACGTCGTCCTGCTCCGAGCTGTAGACGTTGATGACGATGACCAGCTGGGAGGGCTTGGCGGGAGTGTAGCTGCGTTTCACCAGCTCCCCCAGGGCCACGGACTGGTCGGCGGAGATGAACTTGTCAAAGACGTCGGTGCACCAGCGCGTGCCATCCTTCACCAGCAGCTTCTCGGGAGGGTGCTTCCCCTCCACGTAGCGGTTCAGCACGCCCACCCCATAGGTGAGGGGAGACCGGCGCACCTTGATGACCGCAGGGTCCAGGCCAAAGAGGACCGCACCCTTGAGGATGGTGAGGCCCACATCCTGGGGGATGATGATCCTGCACTTGTCACCAAACGCTGCCTGCACCGCCTGCTGCAGAAGGGGCGCCTCTGCAAAGCCACCCACCAGGAAGAGGAACTTGACGGTGGAAACCTCGGGCTTCTGAAACAGGTCCCCTGAAAGGGAAGGAGGGGGTGAAGATCGGGTTACCCAAAGCAAGCCAGCAAGGGGGAAATGCAGCCCTCTGAGCCAATGGTATAGGGAAAGGGGGCCAGCCAAAGAAACACACCCTGAGCAGAGCCAAAGAAACACACTTTGGCCCTGCAACAAGAACCAAAGAAATACACCCTGACCCTGAAACCAGTGCCAAAGAAACACACTTTGTCCCTGGGATCAGAGCCATTAAAGACATACACCCTGGCCCTAAAACTACAGCCAAAAGGCTAAAAAAGGACCAGTGAAAGAAACACACTTTTGCCCTGAGACCAGAGCCAAATCTGACACTAAACCTGGGCAGAAAACTAACCAATCCCTGAGCAGATCTAGCCATCCTAAACTCAGGGATTGAAATCTGACCAATCCCAACCCTGGGAAAACTCCACCCCCTAAGAATCCCTATATAAATCCTGTGTCTATTCAGCTTGTGGCTGTTTGGGCTCTCCTGGATTTTTCCCTCCCAGTAAATCTTTTGAATGAGGTTTGGGTGAAGACCTTCTTTTGCTGGAGCAGAGACAACCCTGGGCAGAGCAGAGCTGGGCTGTAACACTTTTTGCCCAGGAAACCTTCCGCTGGCTAAGCAGAGTTGTTATACTCTGCTCTCTGGGGGACTGGAGCCCAACTTGGTGGGGAAAATTCTCTCCTGCTGGAGCAGAACTGATACACTGGGGAAGCCTCTCCCTGAAACAGGGCTGTAGACTGCTACGCTTACTGTGACCTGTGGTATTCCTTGGCTCCCGAGTGCCAGAATACTTTCCATCTGAGCTGTAATAGTATTGTTTGGCTCCCAAGTGCCATAATCCATCCCCATTTATCCCAACCGAGCCATCGAAATGCTTACAAAAGGGAGTCAGCTAACTGTGAGCACCAGCCCCCAGACACTGGCTTGCCGGGGCTCATCCAACTGAGTTTGTGTTGAGCTAGTCTTATAAAGAAAGTTTTACATACTCTATGCCTAGGAATAAAGGCCAGGGCTGTGCCAAGTTGAAGCCTAACTTGTCAGAGGTGGTGGCTATTTTTTTGGGCAGGGGGTGGGGGAGAGATTTTCAAGACAGGGTTTCCCTGTGTAGCTTTGGAGGCTGTCCTGGAACTAGCTCTTGAAGACCAGGCTGGTCTCGAACTCACAGATGATCCACCTGCCTCTGCCTCCCGAGTTCTGGGATCAAAGGTGTGCACCACCACCTCCCGGTGGTGATTTTAATTCATTCTTCCTAACAATAGTATTCCTTTAAACATGTGGTCCAAGCTGTTAGAAATAATTGTCTGATAGTCACAAAGGTAGATGAGGGATGCTTAAAGGGGCATGATGTTTGGATCCTGAAAAGAAAAAAAAAAAATCCCCACCAGGTTACTGTGTGTCTCTGGGCGAGGATAAACAATGCACCAGATGACAGCATGGACAGACAGACTGTCTTGCTGGACTCTTTCCCGGGTTCACAAAACAGTTCCTTCTTGCCCAGTGAGGCAAGAATTCCTAAGTTTTCTTGACACTTCAGACAAGATACATTCCCAGGGCTTGTCACTCTAGAGTGGTATGGCTTCAGCATTCTTTGACCTCTGACCTTCAAAGCCAAAGTGAAGCCTAGGTCAGGGCGGGCAGGCCCTCAGCTTTCTCAGGTCTGCAGAATTAGACAAACAATATGCAGAGCCACGCCCAGCAGCCCCTCTCATGATGTGCTCAATCCTGCCCACTCCAGAAGGCTCTGGCCTCGTAGCTTCCAGTTCCAGGTTACCTACCAGCTGGGCTTCTTCAGTGCTTGTCCCTGCCCCAGCTCTGTCCCACAAGTGGCCAAGACCCAGCTGATACTCACGGAGGTGCTCGATGATGCTGTCGATGGTGGGCTTAAAGAGGGCGTTCATGGCATCCGGACTCATTCTCAGCATCCCCTGGGAGGACCACTTCACGAAATCCACACTGGGGATAGACAGCATCAAGAGGAGCAAGCCGTGAGTGAGTGCATGGCACCCAGGTGGATCTGCACAGATGTGCGGGTCTGCAAGAATGTCTGTCTCATCCTGGGGATGAAGCTTTTTAAAGCCAACCACCTGGACCTGGACCTGGACCCTCAGAAGCTCGAGCTAAGACATCTCCTCATCTGTTTCTCTTTGCTATATACAGTGAAAGCGGCCAAAGTCTAGCACAAGAGGCCAGGAGGTAAGTAGAGGCTCCCTGTCTTTTGTTTAGAGGGTAGGATATGTGTGCTGTACAGACATAAGCTACACACCTGTGCTTGGGTGCACCCCCACCCTCGGCTCTCCAGGCCCCTGTGGCATCACAGAGCTGAACCTGATCTTACGGGATGGCCCTGGGTTTCTAGATCGCTAGCCAAGACCCAGCATAGTCAGAAGCAGCAGTGTGGAGCAGAAAGAGCACTGGCCAGGGAGGCTGGGCTGTGGTGTGGCCCCATTACTCGGAAGCCATGGACTCTGCCCTCCATCTTCTTCAGAGCCTGGTCTCCGTGGCCGGAAGCTAAGGTTAACAGTTCTGACCTAAGTGTCTCCTCTCAGGGGAGACAGTGAAGACCAAGTACATGGTATGTCTGTGAAAACACTTGGGAAAGTTTGTTATTGTCCTAACTTAATGTTGGGAACTCTCCATTACCCAGGCCCTCAGTAGAGACCCCACCCATTCAGAAGTTCAGGGACCACGCAAATTGCACTTCAGTCTCTGAAGCAAAGTGCACACCAGCTTCTTAACAACACATCCAGATGGCACCTGGTTTCCTGGGCCAGGACGGATTCCCATGGCAAAAGCCAAAGGACAACATTTGGTGTGGAATGACCCTGTGGCTCATTACGGCTGGCTGGTTTCCACAATGGGAGGGTTGGAAGGCCTCAGGAACTGTGCATCCAGGACCTGGGACTCCAGCCAGAGGGCAGGTGTTCTCTCTAGGGAACCAATGGGGCAGAGAAAACAACATCCCAAAAAGACTGCCAGCCTGATGTGGCCCTGTCCAGAGGGCAGGACATCCTGAATCAAATCTACTTTGTTTCTCACTAAAAGGAGCCATGCCTTCTTAGAGAAATGGTCTAGCCCAGGACGGGGACAGAGAATGTGTGAGGTAAATCAAGAGTGTCTTCATCTTCACAGAGCAGAGGCCGTTTGCTGCCTAAAAGGGGATCAGAACCAAGTGGAAGAGGCCGCTCCTGTCCAAGGGGGAACACTCTGAGCATCAGCGAGGCCATAGTCATCAGGATTTAAAAGGCGACAAGCAAGTTTAAATCCACATTTCCCTACAAAATTAAACTCATTACCATTTTGAAGGATGCTAGGTTCTACTTTGTTTTTTGAGACAGAGTCTTGCCATGTAGCTCTAGCTGGCCTAGAACCCCCTATGTAGATCAGACTGGCCCCAAACAGAGAGTCTCCTGCCTCTGCCTCCCTAGTGCTGGGATTAAAGGCATGTGCTGCCACACCACTTTTTTAAAAACAACTGGAAGGAAGAATCATTTATCATTCATCATTTATTCTCTTTTCTGAAGTCACCAAACTACCAAGGAAAAACTGTTTCTTTACATCTATAAAAATGTCACAATGAAGTTATTGCATATAATTATTACATAAAATTATTATGTGCTAATAAGCATAAATTTACAAAAACTGCCACACATTAAGTAGATTTGCCAAAAATTCAGACTGGAAGCCACCTAAGACTCAGTGTCAGTCTATTTGTAAAGCAGAACAGGGACACAAGACAAAGTATGGGATCTGTGGGCACACAGGGCAGCCAGTCTCCGTGACAACTAACACACTGCAGAAGGATGAAACCAGGAGGGAAGACTGCACCGTGGGTGGGGCTTGAAAGCAAGGTATGCTGTACAGCCTTCACTAGGATGCTGACACAAACTAGAGAAACGGGACAGGAAGACTGATAGAGCTAGGTGGCTTTTTAAAAAGTGTGTGTGTGTGTGTGTGTGTGTGTGTGTGTGTGTGTGTGTGTGTGTGTAGGAGAGAACATGTATGTGTGTGTATAAATGTGTATGTGTGCATGCACACTCATGTAGGCATGCAGGCATATACATGTCATAGTATGGATGACATGAGGGGGTCAAAGGACAACCTCAAATGCCAGTCATGATGGGGGTGTCCTTCTGAATGTGCGTTTCTCTTACTAGTTGATGAATGAAACACTGTCTGACCAATGAGGCAGGAAGATAGGTGGGAGTGGTAGGCAGAGAGGGCCCGCCAGGGACAGTAGCCATGTGGACCACAAAGGAGTAGAAGGTCCAGACCCTTCTCCAGTAAGATAAGACCACATGGAAATACTTAGATTGATAGAAATGGGTTAATAATTAAGACAGAGCTAGCCAATAGGAAGCCCTAGTCATCGGCCAACAGTTTTATAACTAACAGTGTTGTGTGCTTATATGGGACTAAAGGAGCTATGGGACCAACCAGGCTGGAAGAAACGCCACAAGTCCCCACCTTTCACCTTGTTTCAGATGGGTCATGGTGTTTATCACAGTAATGGAAACTGTTCTCCACTGAGTATTTCGAGCCACCTGACCCACAAGCTTCCAGCAGTTTCTCCTGTGCCATTTCCTTTCTTGCTGTAGGAATGCTGGGATTTCAGATGTATGCTCCTGTACCTGGCTCGGCCTGTAACTCAGTGACACTGAAGAACAATGCATTTTAAGTGCCACAGTACTATGGCCATATTGAAATGTCTCTCCTTTAGAATCTATGCTGACACACTCACAGATTAGATAATAAGCAGAGATTTGCTTTAAAATAATTGGGGGAGGCTCAGGTGGTTTAGATTGTCGGATGATAAAAGTTTCATTTTCCATTATAACAAGGCCATTAAGAGGGGGTGACTATGCAAAGGGACAGAAAAAAAATTAGACTGTAGTGCCAACCATTTCACCTTGGACGTGTATATCAAAAGTAACTTTTAATATGGTCTTGTTAAGTTGCCCAGGCTGGTCTTGAACTTGATACACACCTGTCTCAGCCTCCACACTGCTAAGATTACAAGCATGGGTTACCACATATGGCTCAAAAGACACTTTTTAAAAGTTATCAGAAACTTTGCTTTTTTTTTCTATTTTAAAAAATTCAGCTTAATCCAAATCTTCTATATGGATTCATTTTGCAACAAACTGAGCTACAGTTGCAGGCCAGGGCCTTGAGAAGCAAAAAAACCAGATTCCCAGTGGGATTCATTGACCTAGTACAGGCCAAGTCCTATTCTAGACACTGCTACAGCAGCTACCTGTGGTGTTTTGAATACATGGCCCCCACAGACTCAAAGGTTTGAAAGCTTAGTCATCAGGGAGCGGCACAATTTGAAAAACGATTAGAAGGTGTGGCGTTGTTGGAGGAAGTGTATCACTGGCAGGAGGGGGGACTTTAGATTTCAAAAGCCCATGTCAGGGCCCAGTGTCTGTCTGTCTGTCTGACTCTGTCTCTGTCTCTGTCTCCCCTCCTCTCCTCCCCTCCCCTCCCTTCCCCTCCATTCCATTCCCCTTCTCTCCCCTCCCCTCTCCTCTCCTCCTCTCCTCTCTCTTCTTTCTCAGCCAGGGATCAGGATGTAGCTCTCAGCTAATTTCTCCAGCACCATATCTCCCTGCCTGCTGCCATGCTCCCTGCTATGATAATAATGGACTAAACCTCTGAAACTGTAAGTAAGCCCCCAATTAAATGCTTTCCTTCATAAGCATTCCCTTGATCACGATGTCTCTTCAAGACACCACCCAAACAAAATGTCCCGTTTTCATAAAGCTATTATTTTCTCAGGGAAGGTACCAGCTAACACACAGACCATACTTCCTGTGACCTGGGTATCATGCTAAGTGCCTAACAGATAGGAATTCACTCACACTCCTCCCACAGCAACCCTTTGAGGTGAGTGGAATTATTACCCCCATTTTCCATAGTAAAAGTTAGTTAAGTCACTTGCTCAGGACACCATGCATAGGGTCAGAACTCAATAGTAAAAGTTAGTTAAGTCACTTGCTCAGGACACCATGCATAGGGTCACATCCCCCCATCCACACCCGATTTCTCTGTCGCACCAACACTCTCCACCCCCAGACTCTCTGGAGCCCAACGTACTTGCTCTTCCTCAAGGCGTGCTCCACACTGTGCCCCCGGAACTTCTTGTAGTAGTCAATGAAAGAGAAGGGTAGAGTGATGTTCAGGGGATTCGTTCGATCGGGTGCAGCAGCTCTTTTGCGAGACTCGAAGGCAATCATTAGGTCAACCCAGGCCGCCGGGCGCTTGATCTTGAACTGCTCGATAAAGTCCTCTCCAAATATTTTACAAAGCAGCTTTTCAAATTCGTAATCCACTCCCAGAGATCCATAGGGTCCACCTGAGAAGAGGACAAAATGGGAGCCCACAGTGTTAGAAAAACCACGGGGGACTGAAAATGCTAAAAACCCAGGCCTTCCCTGGGTTCTCTGAAGCACCCGGGGGCCCACTTGGCACACAGACAACAGCTAACCATCCCCTCTCACACCTCAGTACCCTTAGGCTCTTATTCTGTGCCTCCCCCAAGCAATCTTACAGTCTGTTTAAATCTATTTCATGATAAATAAGATCAGGACAGATAACTAACTTCAAAAAAAAAAAAAAATCACAACCTTCCCTCTTGGAAAACCCACAGGCGAGGTCTGAAAAACCAGCAAGCCTCAGTTAGGCCTGTGTAGTTAGTCTGTCGACGACATCACCCCGCAGACCTCCCCTCCCAAATGGAAAGGTATGTTCCTTATTTTGGTGATCTTGGTCTACGTGTATAAATCTAGCCTTGGATTTCAGGTGGAGGTAACAAGCCATAGGCAAATCTTGGCAAAACTCTAGAAACAGTGTCACTAATCCAGTTTGATGCCCAAAGTCACCCGGCAGTTTGTCTTTGAGAGAACACTTAAATATATTTTGCTTTCCAGTTGTAAACAGATGGATGGGCCGCCCACTACCCACACTCCACATGCTTGTGATGCGAGTGAGATTTGAAATGAGTGAACTAGAAATGGCTGGAGGCTGGGAAAGCTAACCAGCCATGCGGTGGCTCACCTGTCGCTTTGTACAGTTCCTTAAGGTGCCCCTCTGGTAACCGTATCTGATGGACTGTCAGGTCTACAGTGCCTCCGCCACTGTCAACAACCACATATTTGTCACCTGGCGTGAGAGACAGTGATTTTTAAGATACACCAAGAATCCGTCCCCCCTCAAACAAGCTGGTGAATAGCTTGGACTCGGCCACTCACATCAGCACTGCCCACGAGCACAGTGGTTTTGGTCAATTGGCAGCATAGCAAGTTATTCAGTAACTAAAGAGAATTCGGCTGTGCCCATCCAAGAGGGCGGGCTAAGCATGGAAGGAGAAGAAGCAGGTGAGAGAATCTAGAAGACCAGGACATTCACGTCACACAGGGCGGTGTCCCCACCACATCCCATGACTCCCTCGATAACTGGGGAGTATCTGCATCTGTGTGGCTTTCTGACATGCAGAACTCTAGCTCCCAAAAGCCAGACCACGGGGATCCCTGGGCAAGGGTCCTTAAGGCCCCTGCTGTTAGGATAAAGCCCCAGGGAACCTTGGCGGATTCCAAGGCAGGCGAGGGTGACTGAGGCAGGGGACAAACATGCCAGGCAGACAGTACTTAAGTGAGAAGTTTTATTAGAAAGGGGAAGGGAAGGGGAAGGAAAGAGAAAAGAGAGGAAGAGACAGAGAGAGGACAGAAGAGAAGAGGGAGACAGGAAAAAGTCCTGTCTGTCCCAGGGGAACTGCAGGGAAGAGAGCAGAAGTGGGCAGAGGTCTGTCTTTTAAAGGGGTCCTTTGCAGCTGCCTGCAGACTATGTACTCATGGATCCCTGGGCTGACCAGGGCACTGCCTGAGTGCATTCTGCCAGGTGACAGGGGCAGGCCAGCATAACGCCTGAGTCCTTATACCTTCTGCTGAGCATCTCCCCCAAGTGCAAACGTAACGAATACGAATGCATTTGTTGCCAGCAGTGAAAATAAACAATAACAAACAGGGGCAAAGACATCCCAATACTCTACCTTCCTCCAGTTCAGACCAGATCTCTCCTATGACGTTCTCCACCAAGAAGGTCCGACTCTGCCGGTTCCGCCGAACATGCTCCTTAGCTAGCGGCCAACAGAAAGAAAAAGGAACAAGCGTAAGAAAACTTGGAGAGGAAAAAGCGACCATTGTCTGCAGCTGCTGGAGACAACAGCACGGTGGGTGCAGGGACGGAATGTTTGCGGACACTTGGCCAATAGGATTAATAAACACGACCTCAAAAACCAGAAAGCCAGTCAGTCCCTCGTCCTTGGCCCAGGCCCAGCTGTAAAGCCTGCCCCGAGGAGAGTCTTGGCCGTGGTGACTTTCTTCTGGGGGAGTGGGTTAATGAAATGGGCCCATTTCCCAGCAGCCCACGGTGCACCAGGTTAAGCCGTTCCACATCGTGCAACTTTGGAATGCTGGGTCCATCAGAATCTCCCATAAAAGAATTTAGAGCCCGACCCTGCAGCTGTTGGAGACAATGTGCACTTCAGCCACAGGGGGGCGCTTCACCCACGAGGCAGCATCTGAGCCTTTGGGATCCCAGCGCTGCATCCAACAGCAGGGTACCCAGGGTACGCCTCCGCCTGTGTGCTGAGCGCTGCAACGCCTTGGGACAGACAGGGCACTCATAACCGTCCTTTGCTCAGCTGCGAAGGGTGAGGTCACGGCACTCGGAAGCTCCAGGTCTCTTGTCTGGGCAATATGAACCGTCAGACCAGAGACCCCCTCGACTTTTGAGATCTAATGATTCCTAGGCCTGGAAAAGCAGAGCAATGGGCCAAGAAAGGTATTGCGAAAAGGTACCTTGGAAGCAGCAGGCCTCAGCCAAGTGGGCCCTTTAGGCCTCGGTTTCCTCCTTTATAAAATGGGTGTGTCACTAGTTGGTCTGGGTTTCTCGTGGACAGAGAAGGACTGCTTCCCTAATGCAGCCTGCTTGTCCACTGTGTACCTGGAGTGACAGCCTGCACACGGTGGGTGAAACAAACAGGACACCCACTATGAGACCTGGTGGTCCCTGGATGGCAACTGCAACCAATGATTTACTAGAGCAGCCGTGGGGTGACAGAGAAAGGCTCTGCTGCCTCCTACCTCCCTCACTCCCCGACCTTTCTAGTCTTTAAACCCCTAAGCTACCCAACTCCTTCTGAAATGCCACTCAGCCCCTCCTGGATGCTCATCTAGCAGCACCCTTGACCTTCGCAAAACCAACTTCTCTAGAGATTAGACCAGCAAACGCCCCAGCTGACTCTGAGTTCTCTAGAGCCTGGGGTTAGGGTGGTCAAAGGGGCACCCCAGGAGGTCTCCCCAAACTTGGGCTTCTCTCCAATTCCCACGCTGGTCCGAGAGGAATCCCAGGCACTGCAGGGGCCAAACAAGAAACAAGCTGCCTCTCGGACCGTGTGAAAGGTTCAGGCATTATGCTGGCCTGCCCCTGTTACCTGGTGAAACAGGCAGTACCCTGGTCAGCCCAAGGTTCCAGGGAAATAAGTCTGCACGCAGGTGCAGAGGACCCCTTTAAAAGATAGGCCCCTGCCCATTTACGCTCTCTGTTTCTCTGTGCTCTCCGTTCCCGTTCTCTGTCCCGCTCTCTGTGCTACTCTGTCCCCCACCTATGCTCTCGCTCTGTCTCTCTATGGCGACAGGCCATGGCGGTCAGCCATTTACCCCTGTTCCTCTTCTTAGTCTCCCCATTCTGCCGGGCCTTATAATAAACTTATAGTCTTAAGTCTCACGTCTCAGCAATTTCTCTTTTCTTCTTTTTAAACAAAACAGTAACACCGTGTAGCAGGGATCGGATTTGCTGAAACGATTTAGATGGCCACAGATGGAATTCATAAGAGATATCTGAGTGAAGGCGACAAAACAACTTCCCAGTTCGCCAAGAACCATCCCAGTTTTTCAGGCAGATTAAGCCCAAGATTGGACAAATGTATGTTTTATGGATCCCATTAAAACCCATCAGGAGTAACAGAGTGTTCCCTGCAAACCAGGAGTGCTGGAGGCTGAGTGTCTGCCAGCTCCCTCCCTCTAGAGTAGCCTCAGTCCACTGCCTCTGATCACGAGGGACCCACAGGGCGTCAGATGTCCCCTGGGGTCCCTACGGCACCCCACCCCTGGGAGAGACAGCCCAACTACAATGCAAGGCTGACACCTACACCCCTGCTTTGCTGTCCCTCCAAGGCATGTTGGTCGCCAATGAGGCTCCAAAAACCAAAAGGAAAGGCTCCCCACTGTGAGCGCACACAGATAGCCACAGAATCCACAAGCCACAGAACAGTTAGGACAGAGCAGCCATGGGGAGACAGAG